AAATGATCTCCAACTTCTATTCAAAAATTAAATTTAGTGTAACGTCGTTTTTTGAACAACCCCTAAAGGCGAGTTTCCACTCATCCGTTTTTTAATGGAAAAGGATAAGGAAAGGAAAAAATTATCACGAGAGCTTCGTAATAAAAGTTTGTATTCGTCCTAGGAAGATTCATGCTTTTGTGATTATTTTTCCGTTCTTTTAATCGTTCCCGTAGAAAAACAGATGAGTGGAATCTCACCATTACTTTAGTTTAATCATGGAATTATAAGTTCATCCAGCCACAAACATCAAAGTATTTTCAAGTCGTCTCGGGAGTATGCTTGTAATTGAATATTAAAAAAGAAAACAAGTTTTACTGGACAAAAAACAACAAAATTTACTGAAATGATTTTTATTAACACATCAAAAAATGAATTATTCTAGAGATATGCATATATGGATATATGGATATGCTGCAAAACCATTAGAAATTGCAATTACTCAGCAAAAGGTTTATAAAAACTCGGTAATTAAATAGAACCACATGATTTTAAAAGCATATGTTAGTTTAAGTTTCTTTTCTTGCTTCAAGTTATATCACGCCATTTGATTAAAAAGACAAAACAATTTTTAAAAAAGCAAAAAAATTGTTTTCTAAATAACTAAAGCTTAAACTTTCATTAGCTGTATATCATAATTCCATTTATTCTTGTAGTACTCCATTCATTTAATATGAAGTTTATAAAAAAGTTGTTGTTTTCGTTTCGTTGTGCCATTTTTTAATGTTTTTCTTGAATATTATTAGCGATCCTTCAAAATATTATATATTTAAATTACAGTATCGTCCACAATTATTTTCGTCGCGTCCACAATTATTTTTGTTTGTCCATAAATATTTTTAAAACAAAACACTTTAAGTCATAATGACCAGTGCCGGATCAAGGAGGGGGGCTAGGGGGGACTATAGCTCCGGGCCCCGCAAATTTAGGGGCCCCCAAAAATTTTAGTGGACTTTTTTTTTTTTTTTTTTTTGGTCTTAATCCGCCACTGATAATGACTAACAACAACAATACCAGCCTCAATAATCCAAATATCGAAATGGCTGAACAAACAAAAAACAAAACAGTAATAGAAGAAAATATTTTCTTGATTTGATTTGATTTTTCTTGATTTGATTGATTGATCAACTTGATTCGTTGCTAATCAACATTCTCTTTATTGTAGCAATATATATTGCTACAATAAAAAGAATGTTGATTAGCAACGAATCAAGTTGATCTATTGCAAATGCAACAGGTCTTTCAATTAGGACAATACAGAACTAGATACGAAAGCTTGAAGCAGACCAAAATATATTACCAAAAAAACGTGGCAGAGCTGCACGAAATAATATTGAAAGAAAGAGAGAAATCGAGTTATTAATTAATGCAAATAATCCATTAACTCCCATTGACATTGCAGAATTAATGCCAGAAGAACAAAAATGCTCGACAACTACAATCAAAATTAGAATTAAAATTAGAATTAAAAGAAATGGGATATACCCGTAAAAGACTTAAATCGATCGTTGTTGCATAAAATTCAGCTCAAGTAATAGCAACGAGGTTTATGTTTTGCAATCATGTTTTTTTTCTGCAAAATTCAGATCTGGTCTATATTGATGAAACCGGGTTCAATCTGCATGATTCACGACATTATGGATATGCATTATTCGGACGCACCCCGTATGTTACAGTGCCTACACAAAGAGGAAGAAATGTTAGCCTAATATGCTCTATTTCAGTTACAGCGTGTATTGGATTTAAACTAAAGATTAGACGACTGGATAGAATAAGATTTAAGACCAGTTTTAAGTGATCGCAGATATTTCGTAGTTATGGATAATGCACAATTCTACCATTCATCAATAGTAGAATCGGCATTTCGAGAAAGTAATTGTACTATCCAGTTTTTACCACCTTACAGTCTTCAACTTAATCCTATCGAGGAGTTTTTTGGCGTGATTAAAAATTTATATAAAGGAATACAACCGCGGCCTAACAATTCACAAGAAATGATTAGAATTATTACTAAGATTTTATCAGGTTTTACCGAATGTTCTTTTAAGAATTATTATTCTCAAATTATCATTCTCAATCTATTTTAACACCCACTCACATGCGTGAGTGGGTGTTAAAAGGAGTTCAACGTAATGAATTTGTTTGATTAAGTTATACTAGGAGTTTTTTTCTTGATTTCAAAGATTTCAAAAATTAAAGTGTTTTGATTTAAAAATAATTATGGACAAACGAAAATTATTGTGGACGCGACGAAAATAATTGTGGACGATACTGTATTATAAACGTACCTATTTGCGTCAACGTATAAAGATTAAGCGTTTTAGTACAATATTGACATAGTTTTCTTATTAATTACGAAGCAATAGGTTACAAGCGTAGTCCCGAAGAATTTCAATGTGGTTAAACTTCTATCTGTTTTATACTTCCATGGTTTGTGCGTAGTCCCGAAGAATTTCAATGTGCTAAAACTTCTATCTGTTTTATACTTCCATGCGGTAGTGGTGTAGTGGTAAGAGCGCTCGCTTTGTAAGGGAGAGGTTCGGAGTTCGACTCCCACCATGTCCCTGGAAGTACCGCGCTCAACTTAATTTCTCCGCGCAGCGGCCTTGCTTGTCAAGGTTCGTGTTTCGGAGTTAAAGAATTGAGAGAGAGTTGTACCACGATTTACAACAACAACAAAAAAAAAAAAAAAAAAAATGAGTAGCCTCCTCGACTGTAGTGGCCCCCTCGGGCCTTGGGGAGGTGAATAATTAAAAAAAAAAAAAAAAAATATTACATTACATTTATTTTGCGGTTGGAAAGTTGATTGGTTTTTTAAACAAAATAATTGAAGCGCATTTTATTATAATTGCTACTAATAATTACTAATTTTTTCGAAAGATGTGTTTTCCGAGTTAATAGTGTCAACAGTTAATTGAGTTAACTAGCTAACACTAATTGAGATAGCAACCATTAGTTTAAGAAAAAATTAGTTTC